GATTTGCATTTGAATATGATATTGAATGACTGAAAATCTCTGGAAAATGTACCTCATTTTCCGGAAATGTATCTCATTTTCTCAACAAGCATTTTATTTTCGGCCAAAAACGGTTTATGAGATGCATTTCTGGCAATGTGGTTTTTTTATGCGTCGTTTGGTCCTCTAGGAAGTGGACTGCGATCGGTGGATTCCCCGACGGCAACGAGCAGGTGAATGCCTACGACGACTCGACGGACTTTGCGACCACAGCGGATGGCAAGCTCCTCCTAAAAGTCGCACACCAACCGAGCATGCTTGAGTACACGAACTCCACCTTCCATCGCGTGCAGGTCACAAGAGCCTACACATCGTCCATGTTGCAGACTTTCAACAAGTTCTGCTTTTCACACGGGCTGGTTGAGCTCTCAGCGAAGCTCCCTGGTCGCGCGGAACAGCCTGGCATTTGGCCGGCGTTTTGGATCTTCGGAAATTTGGGTCGTGCCATCCTCAAGGATAGCACGGACCAACTGTGGCCCTTCTCATACGACCAGTGCCCGGATCTGAAGCATGCAGCTGCCAACCAGGCCCCGCAGGACGCACAGCGAATCAATGCTTGCTTGAGCAAGGACGGGCCCCCAGCGCGACTGTGTCTAATCCAGGGCCTGTGGTCTCCTTATAAGATCTGGAATGACAATAACATTGTAAACGCTTGCGCGCGCCAACTGCGCACCACCTCGGCAGCCGGGTCGGCCCAGAGCAGGGCGCAGAGGGGGGGTCCGCAGAAGAGGGTCTTGGGGGAATGGTGGGTCCGCAAAAGGGGTGTCAGGAGGCTTGGGGTCAGGGAGGGGTTCAGCACCAAATCTGGGTTTGCTTGTTCTAAAGGAGGCGATCTGAGCAAGTTCTGCGATCGGTTAGACTGCGCCTCTTGACCTCAATTGCCCAGGACATCACCGATCTTTACGGCCTCAATGCCAGGCAGGGGCGCGGGGCTGTGGAGATCGATATCATCGAGGCTATGCAGCGAGACCTTTGATTATCAGGGGCTCGGAGTTTGTGCAGCCCCCGCACCGGAGAAGCCCCCTGGAAGGCGACCTTGAAAACGCAAAGTGCTATGAATTGTTTCATCTGTCGAGAAACTCTCAACCCATGCGTAAGAAATGACGAGCTCACCACCAGTGTATGAAAGCAACATGTTGGTGGAAGAAGAAGAAGAAACAAGTGCACCGTGGCAACAGCATGGAAACCAGGGAAGGTGCAGTCGAGCGCCATCTCGAGAACAAATGTGGTGTCCACGGAGTCCACTGGGCCAAGGTGAGGTAGCCCTTCGTGGCGACTTCCCTCCAGCTGGCCCAGGGATTCCGCATGGTGCTGACCAGCGCCCGCCAGATGAGGATGCAGGATACGCTGCAAACTGCCTCCCCTTCTGGGACACGCAGTGGTATGCAGAGCTGCAGCCTGGAAACTTTCTGCAAAGACTAGTCCGCACTTGCGGTTTGATTCGGGCTTTGCCATGGGCTTATAATGCTGTGGAATATAAGTTTTGGATGGTCAGTTGTTCCTACGCCAGCTCAGTCAAGGGAACCCATTGGGAATGACCTATGGCACCGAGTACAACTCCACCGTGAACATTGGGTTTTGGGGTGACCATTTCAAAAACAGTGAGTGGGAGCTCCAGACAGATTCCTTGAGTGCGCTGAGCGAGCTGCCAAAGGCAGCGTTCGCTGAGCAGATGGTATACAGAATGGAGTGGTTCGGAGGGGAAGACGGATGGCTGCGATTTGAGCTGAACGACAAGCTTCAGTATCAGGTCAATGCCTCCACAGTCCAGAAGTTAATCGACGTATCAAGAGATGGGGATCCCATCGGGACACTGATGAGCCGAATGATCCCGGAGGAGCCATCTTACCTCATCCTGAATATTGACCTCTCACCCAGGTGGGGCTGGCCATGGTGCCCCGAAGACCTGTGCAACTGCTGCGCGGACTGCGGCAATCCTGAGTGCTTCACATGTAACGTGCGCTCTTGGATGTTGGCCGTTTGCGAAGACATGCCTGCGAGCTACGAGATCGACTGGGTCCGCGTCTACCAGCTGCCAGGCGAAGAGCAGGCGAGCTGCTCTCCAGCAGATTTCCCCACCAATGGGTGGATCTCGACGCATTGGGATCGCTACATTGCCATCAATACAGATGAGCCCTTGCGACCTGTCCTGGCCGGGGGCCACCCATGCAGCAACGACATCGAGTGTGGACATGGCACATGCGTCGAGGGACTATGCCAATGTGAGGTTGCTTGGACGGGGCCGAGATGCATGGTGAGCAAAGTTGGTGCAGCAGTGTCAACGACAGCCACCACTGAACCTGTTACGTTGTAGTCGCATGGTAGTCTGGTAGTCTTTCTTCTCCGCCGAACCATTCAGGCAAGAACCTTGGGGACCAAATGAACCCTCAAAGGGTGGTATAAATGCTCTACAATCCCCTACAATACTAGGCGTTATAGTTGTAGGATATATATATATAACCTAGAATCCGGAGGATGCTCTTGTGGGCGGCGGCGCTTGCAACTCCATCAGCACGTTGGACTGCGGCGCTGCAGAGGGAGCTGGCCAGTGCGCGAAAGTCCTTATACCCTGGGAACATCCTTTGCAAGCGCTGCAGGCGAGCTGTTTAAAGGAAAAGTTCCCGAATGCGTAGCAGAAGGGTTCCCGGTTTGAGAGGGGTTCCAGGGGTTGGGGAGGTTCCGGGTATCGTGCGTTTTGCGCGGCGGCACGAATCGAGCTGTACTTGGGGAATCTGTTTTGCTTGTTGGCACGCCTTCGCTCACTATTTGCAACTGTTTTGCTTATATAGTGGTGCGTCTTCGCGCACTATGCGCTTGTTTTGCTGACTGGCGCGTCTTCGCTTACCATATGATCTATATGCAGTTGCTTGGCTTATTGCTGCGTCTTTGCTTACTATGTGCGGTTGTTTGGCTTATTGGTACTTGTTGGTGCATCTTCGCTTTGCTGACTGGCGTGTCTTCACTTACTGTGCGGTTGTTTTGCTTGTTGGCACGCTTTCGCGCACCATTTGCAACTGTTTTGCTTAGTGGTGCGTCTTCGCGCACTATGCGCTTGTTTTGCTTACTGGCGTGTCTTCGCTTACTATATGATCTATATGTAGTTGCTTGGCTTATTGCTGCGTCTTTGCTTACTATGTGCGGTTGTTCTGCTTATTGGTACTTGTTGGTGCGTCTTCGCTTTGTTTACTGGCGTGTCTTCACTTACTGTGCGGTTGTTTTGCTTGTTGGCGCGTCTTCGCTCACTATATGCAATTGTTTTTCTGAGTGGTGTGTCTTCGCTCACTATGCGCTTGTTTTTTTCATTGTTGTGTCTTCGCTGCGTCTTCACTTACTATGTGCGCTTGTTTTGCTGACTGGCGCGTCTTCGCTTACCATATGATCTATATATGCAGTTGCTTGGCTTATTGCTGCGTCTTTGCTTACTATGTGCGGTTGTTTGGCTTATTGGTACTTGTTGGTGCGTCTTCGCTTTGCTGACTGGCATGTCTTCACTTACTGTGCGTTTGTTTTGCTTGTTGGCACGCTTTCGCACACCATTTGCAACTGTTTTGCTTAGTGGTGCGTCTTCGCTCACTAACTATGTCACTATGTGCTTGTTTTGCTTCTTGGTGCGTCTTCGCTTACTATGTGCGATTGTTTTTCTTACTTTTGCGTCTTCGCTTACTATATGATCTATATAGACAGTTGTTTTGCTTATTGGCGCGTCTTCGCTTACTATGCACGCTGGTTCTGCTTGGTTTGTTCGTCTTTGCGTACTCTAGAGAGAGAGAGAGAGACATCGTTCATGTTCACCGATGTTCATTTGCAAGTCCGAAGCTGAGACTGTTTGGCCAGCGCGGCCCTGCCTGGACCTAGGCGGGTGATGGCTACAGGCCTGTGGGCAGTGGTGGTGACGGGCGCTGCCGCTGCACCGCCGGGATGGCCGGGCCCTTCTGCAACAAGCGCATCAACGCGTCGTTCTCCCTGCAAGAGTCCGCGTTCTCGCGGAATTTCTCCATAAAGCTCGTGAATCTTTCATGTGGAATGGAGCCTTCCAAAACGGCTTTTCAGCTTGAGGAGCAGATCACCCGAATCTGCCACTCGAAGCTTCGACACGAAGCAACCGCTCGGGTCTGTAAGGCCATCGTTTGGAAAGCTCACTGGGAGACAGGCGGCCAATACTCAAGCTGCGGTGCCTTCCCTCGCGCGTCCTTGCTGCTGCCTGCCGTGATGCAAGACACCGGTCTTTGCTGCAGCGAAGGTTGCGCAATCTCGGATCTAGTTGCGGCGGGCGGCAACTACAACTTCACTGCTTCTGATGGCGAGTTCGTTTTGGCAGACGGTGCTTGCTCATTTCTAGAAGCAGATTACGGTGCAGCGTCGGGCATAGGGGTGGCTGGGCCACACTTGAAGGCTTTGTGGCCCTTCGCACATGGCAGCTTACTTGTTTGGGGGCCAGAACACAAAACAAGAGTGTACGGCAGTGTACGGTCTGCTTCTGAGTGCCAAAGCTACTGCACCCAGCTTCAACGCTGTAGCTTCTTCACTTGGTCGGCAAGCGATGCCGCCTGTTTCCTCAAGGCGGACCTTGGGTGCCCGCTGGTGCGGAGCTTGACGCCCGCCACGGCCTCTTCGAGACTCTTCTCGGGGCCACGGGAAGGCTGCATCAGGCAGAAGGGTGCCGAGCTCTTCGTCGATGGAAAGCCAAATGGCTATTCGGAGCCCACAGCCCGCGCAAGCACATTATTCAAAACGCTGACAACTACTTCAACAACCACTAGCATCACATCCATGGAGGCGAGGCAGGCTGATGCAAGCATTCTCATCGCGGTCGTCATCTCCGTCCTCGCCTGTTGCGGTGGCTGTTGCGCTTTCTGGGCGTTGTTGGTGTGGAGGCGAGCACGGAGGCGAGCACACTCCACCGATTCCAAGAAGTGCGTCCCTGATGTACCTAAGGATGCACCCTCTGCGATTGCTATCCAGTACTGCGAGGCGCAGACGAAGTTCGTCCCTGATGTACCTGTGCTGTCGAGGACTGTGAGGCACAGACGCAGGGCATCAAGGATCAGGAGAAAGATGATGAGTGGGTGCCTTGCTTGCGTATTCTGTACCCTTGATTCGGAAGGACCTCCTTTAAGGCCTTCATGAAAGAGAGAGTTTCGAAGCAAGAACAGGTTGAGTTGAGGAATTTGCCTGGAATCCTCAACTAGTAATTACAAAGAAACTCCATACGTTCAACGACGGATAGATGGATCACGTGCCGTGGAATGGGGGAAGTACGAAAACTTCCAAGCAGCCATTCCCATATCCGGGAAGGATCTTCTTGACCTTCTAGAAGCTGGCCATGTACCCATTCCCTCGAAATGAGTAGATACCATAAAGAAAATCCACGAAGCCCGCAAGGCGGATTATGATCCGGAATTCAAAAGCAGGCTCGTGGGATGTGGAAACTTTGAAGGTGCATACGCACCGATGCCCCGACCTCAGACATTGAAACGCACGCCGTCGTAGCGGCGTTTGCTGCAGCCGAAGGAGTGCCCTTGGGGGGCTCCGATATCAAGAATGCTTATTTCCAAGCTCTTCCAATTGACCGAATAGTCATAATGAGGCAGCCGAGCGGTGGTCTCCCTGGAGTCGACCCCGAGGCTATGCTGCTAGTGAGAGTACCCGTCTATGGACTCTCAGACTTGGGAAGAGGCTTTTGGAAACGCGTCGACCGGGACGCTAAGCAGGAAGGCATGACCTCCTCTAAGCTGTTCCCCGCGTTCTACTTTCATAGAGATCGCGAAGGCAAGGTGGATCTAGTCATTACCACCCACGTAGATGATTTTCTATGGGCCAGCCGAGCATCAGGTGAGGAAGTCGTCCAGAGACTCCTTAAGTGATTCGTCGAAGTCGGAAGACTCGAAGAAGAACGTCTTCGCTTCTGTGGGAAGCAATTTGACCGTTCCGGGCAAGATGTGTTGATCGATGTCACAGACAACACAAGAAAGATTG